AGGGGGCCGTGAAATGGCAACCCACTGTGTCTTTGAGTTTAAAATTCTTTTTGTAGAAAAGCAAAAGGGTCAAACTTGTGACTTTAAACATAATGTTGGGGCATTTTAATAGGGAATAAGTGACATATGCAGTACATATACTCCCCTCTAGCCCTACAGAGGACTTGCAACCCCAGAACATGCAAGATCAGCTCTTCTTCATTACTGAGACAGATAACAGTCGACTGTGCAAGTCTCCAGAATACAGCGCCTGACTCATGCTTGTGTGGAGGACCTGATGTGTGTGAAAATACAGACATCCAGCCCTCGGGATGCAGCACTGCTCTTCACCACTGGCCTGAGAACCTGCGCTCTGCACACATGCCCAGCTAAGGATTGGAATTGCTTTTGCTCCTTCAGGCTTTTGTTCCTTTCTGTGTGTAAAGAATCTCAGGATCAGTGTAAAAAAAAGTGAGCAAAGTTGGGAAACCCAGGTATCTCTAGCTCTATTTCTCCACTGGCCCAACCTCATCTGCAGTGGAGATGAACTTGTCTCTGGTACTTGATGGACGTGGTGTGAAGATGAAGCACCCTGATGGGAGGGTATGAGCTGTGGCCCACTTCGTCATTTGATTATGTGATGTGTCTACACACACCCTGCTCCCACGTGCACCTTGGGTCATTTGCACTATGCAGAAGGGAAACCCTTCTCTGCGTCAGTGGCAGACAGTAGAGATCGCAGAGCATCCAGTAAAGCTGGGCTGCGTATTCAGAGCCACACCAGGGCTTGTGCTGCTGCTGCTGCTGAACTTTTTTTTTTTTTTTGCTTCTTTTTTAAATCCTGTGGAGGGTGATTGATTTATGGATTCCCTCTTCTGTCAGAGAACCCTAAACTAAACCTTCAAAATGTGAAAAGGAGGACTCTTAAGTTATTACCCCTTTTATAATACAGCTGTCACCTAATAACTACAGCTTGGGAGACACCTGGGGGACAGAGGAAGTTTTAGTGGATAAAATATAGTTGTAATTAAGTAATGCATATCATGGGTACATCTTATTTTACTCACTTTTTTGCTAATAATATGATCAATATGATTTTCACCCAGGAATCTCTCATCTACTACTTCTTGTTCAGTTCTGTGGCCTGTCTTGTCACAGTGGGCACCTCTTCACATGGTGGCTGCCTCTGCAGTGGGCATCCCATAGTGACGCAGTCCTCCTCTTGAGCCTTCTGTGTTTCCCTTCCCATGTCTACACTAGGAGGCAGTGCCTGCTTGTATCCATACGCTGTGCTGTTGACTTGCCTAACTCGCCCTTCACTCTCTTCCCAATAGATACCATGATGTCTGTTGGGGATTTTTTGCCCTGAAGAACAGTTTTCCTCCCGGGTCTCTGGGAGCCCATTTGCTGAGCCTCAGCTGTGCACGTGTGCAGAGTGCAGGTTCTCAGGCCAGTGGTGAAGAGCCATGCTGCATCCCGAGGGCTGGACCTCTGTGCCTCTGTGCTCTCACACACATCAGGTCCTCCACACGAACATGAGTCGGGCGCTGTGTTCTGGGGACTCACACAGGCATGCCACAACAGCTCCAAGCCCAGGCATGGGTGCTCTCCACTGTGGCCACAGAAGCTCACTCCATCTCCTCCAGACCCACGTTGATGAGGGTGGGAATTGGCACACGAGGTGTTTGTTTAGGCCCTTTTAAATTGTTTAGTAAAATATGCAATGTTCAAATAGAGCTAATTCTCCACTGGTGGCCAGATTTAACTAATTCTCACTAATTTACCAAAGCTCATATTTATTTCTAGTTTAAAAACAATTATGTATGTTGAGTGCTTGCTATTTGCCTGGCACTGTTTCTATGAATTAATTCATCAAATGAGTATTTTACAGTTACTCACATGATGAGCCCAGCGGGTGCTCCCTTTTGCCATTTTAGATAAGAAAACTGCAGCTTGGTCTGTTGCAGCTGAGGAGAGGCAGAGCTTTGGTGGTACAGGTGACCCACACTGGAGCCTTGTTGCTGAGCACTTGTTATCTGTAAACAACAGTTCTTATCAGGAAGAACCCGTATCTCTTCCACCCTTCATTTGAACAGTGTTTCAAAGACCTGCGAGTGATTAGCTATAACTGAACTTGTATTATGCCTTATCAGAATTCTGTAAATAGATAACTGTGGCAATTAAAAATACATTCATTTAAAACTATATTTGAGGCACACATAATTTTAAATAAAGAATAAAAACACTGATCCCACTTATAAGGTTTAAAATTTAGCTTCAGAGATTTAAAATATCATAATCACAAAATAAACAGATATGCAACTTTGGCAAATAAAACAAAGTAGGATTGAGCAGGATTTTGGGAGCCTTTGGGGGGTGCTTATTCCAGATCAGGTATTGAGGAGGGTCTCCCTAGGGTGTGGATGGGAGGACCAGGGATGCCCCTGGCCCTGAAGTGGCAGGTGGGTGGCTGAACAAGCCCCCCTCAAGAACAGCCAGGAGAGGTGGGCATTGCACGGCTGTCATGGAAGGAAGGCTGTGAGCAGCTAAGTCTAAAAGAAATGGGAGGACAGACTGGGGGAGGAAAGCAGGACTGGCACTTGCCATTTGCACAGGGCAGCTGACAGGGTGGGACTCTGCAGAAGAAGGGCTGGCCAGTGAGGAGAGCCCTGGGCTCCACACAGGGTGGAGATGGACACAAGTATCTGGGGGTGGGTTTTCCCTCAAGAATGAACCCCGAGCGCTGAATTGAGAACACTGCTCCTGCCTAGCTGCCTGCGGGGAGAAAGATCAGATGCACTGTAGAGGAAGACAGAGCATCTGGAGCCCCAGAGTGTCTTTACAAATGGCATTGAAAACAAAACCCCAGTCAGAAATCACTGGGGGAGATCAAAGTCAATGAAAAAGCATGGAATGTGTGCAGGTGTTTGCACACACATGCACACACACAGGAAGGCTTGTGGTACACCAGAAAGAAACCATCAAATGTGGGCTTCATTAGTACATTTTAAGAAGTAAATTGTAAGATGGAGATGTATGTCACACGTTGGAATCTACTGAGAAATATGAAATGGAAATATTAGAAATGCAAAAAAAATTAAGGTATGAAATTATGAACTCACTGGGTGAGTTTAACAGCAGATTCAACACAGATGGAGAGAGTAAGTGAACAAAAAAGTTTGTGGTCAGAGAAAAATATAGAAAAGAGCATAATATACCCAACACATGTTGAAACCTCTAACATGGTTGTAGCTGAAGTTCCAGAAGGAGAGGAGGAAGGAAATAGAAGAGAAACTCGATGATAGATGAGAACATCTCCAGAGCAGCAGAATGAGCCAACAGATCAAGAAGCACTAGGAAATCTGGTTTAATTTATAATTACATAAATAAATTTACAAAGACAAGACAGCCAAGGACATGACAATCAAGTTTACAGGAGCTGAAGACGAGAGAGGATCTCAAAACCTGAAGAGATGAAGTGTGCACCCCCCAACCCAGAAGTGATGGTGCTAGTAACCAACTTTCAGCGTGCAGTTGGAGGTCAGAGGTGCATCACTGCCACAGGAGCAACAGAACAGGTGCCAACCTGGGAATCTGTGCACTCTGCACTTCTCTTCAAAAACAAAAGCAAATTAGTGCAGCTTCTGAAAAATGAAAACCTAGAAAACTTTTCACCAGCAAACTTCCAGTAGAGGGAAAACTAAGGCATTTCTTTGAATCACAGGAACATGATCACAGATAAAAATGGGTAAGCTATAAAAATGAATGGAAAGGATAAATATATGATAAATCCAAATAAATATTGGGTGTGTAGCAAAATAATTAGAAAAACCCTATATAAATAATTCATGAAAAACAGGATTTTGTTAAATGCCATTTGATTATTCAAAGTTCCTTATTACTTGGAAAATTGTAAATTTATTTATGTAATTATAAATTAAACAATATTAATCATTTAAATTAATATAATATTCAATATATTATACTACTTATATTTACTAATAATATATGTTGAACCTCCTGGATAGACATTGAAAGAATAGTGATAATTGGTCTGTAACAAGAGTGAATGAGAGTCATCAACAAAGATAATAAAGAAAAGGAGAAAAAATATAAAACTAATAAGATGATTGATTAAAATGCTGATACATCTGTAATTGTCCTAATGCAAATGGATTGAATACCTAGAATCAAGGAGAAAATTTGGCAGATTGGGTTAGCAAATTCATGTAGCTCACAGGAAAAAAAAAATAACCTGAGTAAAATATGCAGACAAAAAGTGGCTGAAAATAAAATTAGAGTAAATTAAATACAGTACAAGTAAACGGTAGGCAAAATAAAGTCGATACATATGGTCTTGCATATAACACTAAAAGGCAAGAAATGATAAATTAGTAAACACAAGTAGGGTTGTTTCATACCGAAGAGACTATCTGACAAGAATGTGTTATTTTAAATGACTATGCACCTAATAAAAAAGCTCCAAAATGTATAAAGCAAAAATGGACAGAACTTATTAAAAGAGCAATAGATACATCTATAATCTTAGGTTTTACCATACTACTTTGAGTAACTAAAATAACATCCAAACCAAAGTTAAAAAGGATATAGAATATTGGAAAAGCAAATGTGAACAACTGAGACCTAGCTGAAATTTACAGATGGTGCATGTAATCTCAGAACATATATTGCATTCTCTCCAATATATTCTTTGCCAAATTGAAAATAAGCATGCACACACACAGTCTCTCTCTCAACCAGAAATTATTATTATTGAAATTCTTAGCATAATTTTTCTCTTAATAAAATTAGTTTATTCTTAGCATAAATTTTCTCTTGATAAGATTAAGCTAGAAATTAAAACCTAAAATATAGCTAAAATATCCCTAAATGTTTATAAATCACTTCTAACAACATGTTGGCAAAAGAAATTACAAAGGAAATTAAAATCTCAATATGTAACTTAACATCTCAATAATTTAGACAACAGAACAGCAAATGAAATTAAAATAATAAAATAGTACATATGAATGTCTTTAATATTAAGTGGGAAACAAATGTGTGATACACTTCAACAAACTAAAAGTTGTTTTCCAAGCAACTAATGAAATTGATAAACTTAACATTGATGAAAATTGATTAGATTTAAGATTGATTTGTTTAGAAATCAAGTCTTACTACATTATTGTTGAAAAAGGAACATCATGTTAATATAATTCAAAGAGTAATAAAATATATTTCCAATTCTTATTAACTGACAAATGATTTATATCCTAGGTATATTAAAAGATTTTACAACATAAATTTAAAAAATCTCAGACACTAGAGTTAACAAATGGGTAAAAACATTGACAAATACTCACAAAAGGAAAATGACACACTACAGGGCCACACCACATTAGTGTTTACAGTAGCAGGATTGTGGAAGGAGAGACTTGGACTACAAGTCACAGCATCGTTCCATATCTGAGCAGCTAATGATGACAGGGATTGATGAGGGCATGCTCACAGCAGGGTCACAGATCACAGTGAAGACAAGCATCACGAGTCTCCCCAGCAGATGCCTGAGTCCAACAGCCAGGCTCAAGGGCACATGTGGTCTAATCCCCTTTACATGAAGTTCAGAGCTCACCAGTGTTGGAGGGCAAAATGGCAGTGTCTCAGAGGAGAAGGGGTTGGCCTGGTCCATGGGGGAGAGTACCAGGAGAGCCGCTGACCCAGCTCAGGTACCGTGTACTTGGAGTGGTGCTACACAGGCCTGTGCTCCCTTTCAGATGGCTCACGCAGATGCAGACTTGGGACTTAACACGCATCTCTGAATATGCTGTACTTGGACAAAATTTTTGATTTGTTTTATTTTTAAACAGCAGGAGAGCATTTAAGGTAAAGGAAAGAGCAAGTAAAGTCCTTGTGCAGCAAATGAGAGAGCCAGGTTCAAGGATGGAATCGAGCCCCTGTGCCTGGACTACAGAGATGGAGACATGCAAGGGTGGGGGGAGAGAGAAAGCAAGCAGGGGGACAGGAGGAGAGAGTGAGGGCAGGAAGGAGAAAGAGAAGACCAGAAAGAAAAGAGTGGTCAGGCAGGCTGAAGAAGGGTGTCCACAGCCTCTGACCAGGGTCCTGGAACTTGGGAGCCTTCCCTCAAAGCACAGGAAAGCCAGCCAAGGGTTGGCAAGTTTCCAGGTGAATGCATTGGAAAGGAGCAAGTAGGTGAGGGTAGGTGAGCCAAGAGCTGGCAGCAATGGCCAGGAAAGAGAGCATGTGATACCTGGGTGTGAGCAGCACAGTGGTTAGGAAAAGGGCCAGCACAGAGTGGATACCGGTGAGGACCCAGGGAGCAGAGCCGGGGGACCAGGGGTGACACTGTGCTTCAGATCCCAGGCTGAGCTCCCTGACTCCAAAATGCTTAAACATCATGGAAGCATATATTTCTCTTGTTTCATAACCCTTTGATCTTAATTGCCTGTATCCAGTTATTAAGAGCTTTTGTATTCTAGCCTAGTAATATTATTTTGTGGACTAACCATTTCAAAAGGGGTTTCCTAGTCCATCCAGTTTTATTTATAATCTCATTTGAAGCACAGTTTTATTATATATTTGATAGTTGTGGGCCTAACAGTCCCTGCCCAATAGCTGGGCATAAGTAATAAATTTTTCAAAATTTACTACCCGCTGTTAACATCTCAACTTTTTTTGAAAAAAAAATAGACTGAGAATTTTGACTCATTTATTAATTATTGTGCCACTTTTGGGGAAAATAACAAGGCATATTTATGAATGTGTCTCTCAGCTTCTTTCCTGAAACTCTTTATGCCTGAAAATTATAATTTAAGCTGTCTAACTTGATTGTGACATATGTTTTATTATAAGCAAATGAAAATCCCTCCTTTTGCATATCTATATTTTCTTGCATTAGCTTCAGTTTATAATTTTTGGGCATTTTTGCTCTATAAAAAATTCCATAGGAACTCTATAATAGAGAGTCTGCCCTGCTATTTCTGTAAAATAGACATATAATGTGAAGGAATTTCACATTACCTAAAGAGGATTCTCAAACACTCAACTGCTTCTATTTTCCAAAATGTGCTTATTTACAAAGCTTCTTTATGATGGTCTTTTTTTTGTATAAAAGAACTCATCAATAGTCAGCATTTTCATATTTATTACACTTCCTTGTGAGGGTATTCAATATTGACATGTTACTGCTTGAGTTGAGAGTCCTTATCCAACCTGTTGGAGTCAGAAGACTGAGTGGCTGAAGTAGCTGTGGCCTTGGGCTGACATGGGGCACCACTAGGGATATGGAGCCCAAACGGCCTGCAATTTGTTCTTCCACTTGAAATGTGGGTATGTAGCAGGACACACTTGTTGATACTCAGAGGTAAGCAAGGGGAGGGAGACAGGGAGCTGGATCCCTATGTATTTTGGTTCACTGAAGCCTCTTACCCAACATAGAAAACCCCTAGGTCCAACTCAGTCCAGAGGATTTGGTCAGAATCATCTCATTCTAAAAGTTTTTGATTTCAGTGAACTTAGGAAAAACTCTGTCATGTCAAGAAAGGCCTGAGAAGGAGGTTGACTTAAAAAATGTCTTTGATGCTTGCTTTACTCTGGCAAAGTGAGATCAGGTCAATGTGGAAGGTTTTTTAAAAACTGAAACATTTATGTAAACACTTGTGGTTTCTTCGATCAAATTTTATCAATAGGGCAACATGCCCAGGTTTTAAAAGGATATTTATTTTTAAATATTATAAATGTCGATTCGTGATTGACAGTGTCACAGGAGAGAGGTGGTGGCACATGTGCCCCTTCATTCATCGTAGAAACACAAATTGTTCACTCGCTGCTTGTCAGTCAGATTTCGGAGCTGGAGGGTGCAAAGTTGGGACAGTGTGTGTGGTGCTTCTGTGGCAGGTTGGGACACGTGTGTAAACACACGTGAGGTTGCTAAGAGTGCTGTATAGCTCAGGAGGGATGGCTGAGGAGATGGCCAGCTCAGCTTTCTAAATGTCATGCTGTCCTGGGGAGACAGGAAGTTTCGTTTCCACCTCTCCATAGGGTCCCCAGGTGTGGCTGGACAGGAGGATGGAGAACCATGACAGCATGGGCAGAGGTGGCACTGCACAGATGGTTCTGTGGGTGAGGCAAGGTTGCCTCCACTCTCATCCCAGAACATCCATGGACGTACCCTTCATACTCAGAATTAGTGCAGGAGCTCGCCAGTTGCCCCGCCTGGCTCCTGCCTCTCTGTCCTTGGAGGGGAGATTAGAAGAGAAGCCATCACATTTCCAGAAAGCTGGCTCTGGCTGCACCACTCTCCATCTGGGAGGCCTTGGCTGCGGGCAGTCCAGTTCTCACATGGGATGGCTTACGAAACTCCTTCTGCTGGACCCTGTGTGTCTTTCCACCCTCCTTTACATCACTCATCTGGTGACCCTGTGTGAGTGTTCTGAGCAACTCATGAAGCTCTGTAGGCACTGCCCTGCTCTGGCTCCACATCCCTAATTACCAAATTTCTAATGGTCTTACTGATGCATTGTCTATCATGACTCTTGCCCAAACACCCCACCAGCACTGTCCTCTGTATTCCTCTGTCATGTTTAGACTATTATTGTTACCATTGTTAATTTTGATGTCTCCCATCAGACACTATGAAATCCTCATAGGCTGAGACTGTGTTCAGTAAACCAACCCATCACCTATCATTTGTGCCACAACATATTCTATTTGTCTAATTTCTGAGTGGATTGAGAGAAGGCAAAAATGATTTGTTATGTGCTGCCTCCAAACCATTTTCATCCTACCCTGTGCATTTGGTAAAATAAATGCTGACCAATCTCATTTTTTCCAATAGAGCTCTTCCTGAAATTTGATGAGTAAATTAAATTATATAGAATGAATTATGTTTACAGAGCAGTGGGATTTTAAAGAATGCCAGCAAAGAATGAATCTGGTTCAAAGAGTAATCTGTAATGAGAATAACTCCTCTGTTTTTCTATGCCACCTGGACTTTCATGTTGACAAACTGGAAATTTCACAAGTTGAGTTTCCTTACCGTGGTGTTCACCTAGGTAGATATCCATGCAGATAAACTTCAAGGACTAAGTAACAAGAAGAGAACAGAGATAAGGGCTGTGAGGAACCTGTTCTTGTGTTGAAAGTATTACCTGATTGCAAACATGAAACTGAACATTTTGTGGGAAGTCTCAAGTCAAAGCTACTGTAATCAAAGAAGTGGTGATGCCAGCAATTCATAAATCAAGTATGGAGCCAAACTTAGGCAAAACCAGTGGCTGCATTACAGCAGGTCTGGAGGGATCCTGCCAGGGTGAGATGGATGCCCATGAGTCAACGAGAAGCCAAGTAAATGGAGGTTGGGGCAGGTCCCCATGCCCCAACCTCCAGAAACACCATCATGCAAATTACAGGACAAACATACTCTTCTTGTAGATACCTGCCCATAAATGTCAGAACCACATTTGTGTCTGATAATGTTTTTCTTAACTTTTCTATTGATGCATTATAATTTAACAAAATAGTTGGAATTACATATAGTTGTATAACAGTTTTTACATATTTGCACATGCACACAACAGAACAATATAATTTGGTTGTGTCTGCTACAGTCTGAATGTCCCCACCAAATATTGAAATGCATTCCCCCTTATGACATATTAAGAGGTAGGGCCAGTTGAGCCTTCAGGAGGTAATCAGGATTAGAGGAGGTTGTGAGGTGAGGCCCCCATTGCTGTGGCAGTGGGTCTGTAAGAAGGGGAAGAGGGACAAGTCAGCATGCTGCTGTGTCTCACCATGTGACGTCCTCTGGAGGTCCCAGTCAGACCCAGCTGCTCAGTCTTGGACTTCCCAACCTTTAGAACAATAAGCTGAACAAATCTGTGGGCTTTATAAGCTATTCTCTCTGTGCAATTCAGATTGAGCAATGGAAAATGGACTAGCACAGTGTCCCTATTTATGGAGGCAACAGCTTAGGAGAGTTACTCAGGATGGGAGGGGGAGAGAGATGCCATTTTCATGTAGTTCCTACTCTAATTTTTCTCATAGGATAATTTATTATCCACAGTCAATATAGAGAAGGAGGTTTTAAGCCTTCCCCCCTTAAATTCCTATTCTCTTCCTTTCTCACAGAGACCTCTTTTCCATCATTCTTTCCTTCCCCGCATTCCACCTGGTGATAGCTAAAAGCCAATGAGTTGCAAATAATGAAAAGGAACATACTTGAATTTCTTTCCTCTTCCATGCTTTCCACTGTTCCTCTTTGAGCTTCTTAGCCCTATCTTTCCTGAGGCTTTTTGCCATCAGGTGGCCGTGGGATGGGAGAAGACCCCTTCTTTGAAGATACTTGAAAACTGTGTGCTCTTTGGAGTCTTTTTCCTAATTCTGGGTGGGAAAGAGGAAGACTCCAGATGAATTAATGTTACTTCAAAGAAAGCAGAAAAAAACATCATTTAATGCTGCTTAAACAGACTGTTCTGGGTTAGACTGAAATTCAACTGTGCACAGATGATTGGTGCTCGAGAGTTCATTCTAGAGAACAGTGGTGATGAGCAGCCTGTGGTCTGAATGTTTTGCATGCCCCCCCACTCATGAACTGAAGTCCTGACACCCCAAGTGACAGTATTTGGAAGTGGGGCCTTTAGGGGGTGGTAAGGTCGTGAGGGAGGAAACCCAGTATGGGGTCAATATCCTTATAAGAGACCCCCAAAAGAGGCCTCTCCTCCAATGGTTTGAGGACACAGCCAGAACTATAAGTGTGAACCAGCCAGACAGGAAATCTACTGGTGCCTCCATCTTGGACTTGTAGCCTCCACCACTGTGAGGAATAAGTTTCTGTTGTTTATAAGCCACCCACTGTGAGGTTTTGCTACAACATCCAACAGAAACCAAGATAATCCTAACCAGGGAAGAGCACTTCTAGAACCTAACATATGCCTACTAGGTAGGCAAAACATAATCCCCATTCCTTTAAAAGCTACTTTTCAACCACAGGACTTTGGATTAAAGTCTTCTTTATTAATGTCTGCTTATTTCTCAAGCCCAGATCATTAGTTTATACCTGTACTGCTTATGTGCTTATATATATATTTGTGTGTGTACATATAAAATACATATGTAATGTATAATATATGCAGGCTTAATTGACATGTAACTGCTGTTGCAGTTACTTCGAATTTTCTGCTTCCGTTTGTTAAAACTGGCCTGATTCCTTTTTCACACAGAAGAATTTTTATGAATGCAAAAAAAGGAAAGGCTTCTCAAATCTCTACCAGACTGTCACTACCGCCACTGGCCCTCCCTCCCAGATGCGGGTGTGCTCCCCCGCCCTACCCACCCCTGGGGCTGCAAGTTTCAGCCTGAATGCCTGTTGGATTGGAGCGGCCTGGGCGATTCTGCACGGGAATTTGGCCAACATCCGCTTGCTGCGCTCTAGAGAGCACGGGTCAGTGGGGTCCAGGCAACAAAATCACTTTTGTGAAAGATTTGTCCGAGTGTCCAGGAGTGGCGATAGGGGAACCCAGGGCGTGGCCACTGGGCAACCCGCCTCTTCCAGCAGATAAAAGAGAAAGGGGCACCGGAGACTGAGCCCCGGAGGGTGGTTACAGCCCCCCTGCAGAGCCTTAGGTGCTGGGCTGGGCGGACCGGATCAGATCTTGCTGGCTGGGGAGAGGGAGCCAAGAAAACGGTGGGGCTTGAGGGGCCTGCAGGGTGGAGGCCCTGAGGGAGGCGCAGCCTGGGAAATCAGGTGCGCAACAGCGATGCGATGTGGCGGTTCCTGGCTGCCGGGAGCCCGTGGCTGTGGCCCCCAGCAAGGTGCTGTGCGCTAGGGAGCGGCTGCGGCTGGAAGAGTGCAACCGTGGAGACCCAACGTGTGTCCTCCAGTAACCTGAAACATTTTTCATAAGCTGCCATCCCAGCCTCCCCACATCTTCCCCTGCGCCTAAGCTAGACTTGGGACTGGCGCACCGCCGCGCCTGGCCTCCCAGGCTCTAGCTCCCCTCCAGGGCGCCGCCCAGAGGTAGTCGCAGTGGATCAATAGTTAACACCAGGCAGCAGGAGGCGGCTCCACCAGAGGCAATCGCCCTAGTGCCTGTTTGTAGAAGCCGCGCGTCTGCACAGCAGAGGGGGCATCTACCGAGGAGGAGGGGGGTTTGAGGAGGGGCTCCCATCGCTACCCAAACAGTTTGGGCTCCTTAACCTTGCTGCAGCCTGAGGCTTCCCGGTGCTGCTCAATTCAGGCAGAACACCCGGCGTGCGCGTGCACGCGTGTACACACACACGCACGCACGCACACACACACACACACAGCCATGGCATCGCCGCCTGGCTGGCCCCAGACCTTAGGGACTCGTGTAGCGACCGCTGCGCCCAGCGCTGCCAAACAAGAAGCCCCGCCAGCCGAGGCTGCGCCGCCCAGTGTTCCCGAGTGAGCCCCGCGTGCGTGCCGCGCCGCTGTCGGCTCGCTCTGTGTTGATGGCGAGCGTTGCGGACACTCACGCTGTCTGCTCGCTGGGCTCCCAGCTCCTTCTCCGCCTAGGCTCCGGCTTTTTGTTGCAAGCAGCACTTCCACCATCCGGCTTTTTTGATTTTCTCTCTTCGTTGGCGGCGACTGAAAATAGTTGATTGGTATTGGATCCGCTGGGGAGTGGGAGTGAAGGTGGGGAAATGGAAGACCTGGAAGAATCTCTCTTCAGAAAGGCATCTCCGCCCAGTCGCCAGCCAGCCCTGCCTCTACTTTAATCCTCGCCAGGACAATAGATTAAGTTACTCTTCCTGGGGCAGAAGTCCGTTTCAGATTCCTGGCAAAATGAAGGAAAAGGCGATGATCAAGACGGCCAAAATGCAGGGGAACGTGATGGTGTTGTATTGCTATCTGCTACTTTCTGTTTGAGGCTGGGACAAGGAGATAGGATGGCTGTATTCCTTTGGAAGGTCCAGCAGGAGATACAATAATTGTTTCAGCTGCAAGATCTAGAGTTGTTTACAAAAGTGAGGAAGGGCAGCGTCCAGGGCAGAAGTGTGGGGAGACATGTTTGGAAGACCCAGATAATGGGCCATATGGAGGTCTTCCTTCAAGGAAAGAGAGGAAGGAAATGAAAGTTATTTAATTGAACAAATACAGGCTGGCTTAACCACACCCACATGCAGCAAGGCACTTGTTGCCTGGCACAGAGCAGCAGGGTGGGTTGGTTCAGAACTTGACTTTTGATGAAGTATGCCCTGCTCCACTCAAGACCCTAGGGTGTGACACCTGCTCAGAGGCCACCCCAAGGGCTGTCTTCAGCCCAGGTTCTGCTGCTGGCTGGCCTAATTTCTCATTAGTGAAAGCAAACTGTTTTCCTGATTTTTTCCACCCTTGTTTTGGTCATTGTGTTATTCTGCATGATTCCTGTATAAATAGAGCAGAAACGTGTGTGGAGTAATGTTTTCTAATTAAATGTCCACCCACATCTATAAGTTCTTTTTCATATAATGTGCTACAAAAGCCTTCCCATTGAGGACTGAGGGTAAAGATAAGGGTACAGGTTAGTTACATTGATAAGGACACATTATTCATGATTACATATCTCTGTCAGTGATTATCACCAAATAAGTCATAACTTACATGGAATGTTCTAGTGTAGCATCATCTTAATTATATCTTCTTTGAAAACTTTTAGAGTGTTCTCTCCCATCCTCCCCTTTCTGCCTTTTACTTCAGAAAATGAAGAATTACAGGACTGCTGGCCACTTGCTGAGGAAGGCTAGCCCATTCTCATACATGTTCTCCCAAGCCTGAGGCTAATAAGTATAATTAGAACAAGTTACAGTGTGCCTGCAGAATTCTACAGCAACCAGTGTGTTAAGAGCCATCCATTGGACCAAGAGCAAAAAAAGAGGTGAACTGGCTCAACTTTTAAATGTCCTATCCATTCTTTAATTGATAATCATGACTTTGCAGTCTGGTTTGTAACTTACTTGAAACTTGCTTTTCCAACTAAATGTTTGTAGCTTCAAACTAGTGATGGTTCCAGGCTTAAATCATAAATTCGGGACTTCATTTTTTTATCATTTGCTTTGGAAGTTAATCATAGCCTGTCTCGAATTAGGTGACTGGCACTTGTGTGTACTCCCAACTTGATTGAAATTCGGGTGTTATTTAACATTCACAATGTGGATTAGATGATTTACTCCTGTTTCTTGATAGTTGAGTTGCTGCATATTCAACAACTATAAAAACTGCCAGTGTTTTCTGCTGTGCTGTTTCACTGTGTCCACACACACAGCTGTCAGAGCCAAGCTGAGTTCAGAGTGTGTGGTGTTCCTTGAGCTGCCTGGACTCACAGGAGCCTTGATATTGAAGGAGGGTTGGGACAGAGAGGCAGATGCAGTCTTGGTACTGCCCTTGTGACTGGGGAGATGCTGTGGACGTTCACCCAGTGTCACCTCTGAAGCGTTCACACTGTGTGGTGGTCCTGGGCTTGCAGACTTGCCCTTCATGCCAGCCCTGCAAGGCTGGGGCAGCAACCTCCTGGCTAACACTGGCTGTGCCATGTTGCTTGGTTGAAATTCATTATAAAATCTTACTCCATCTTTTATTCTCCAGACATTGCTTTTGGAAACTTTTTCCTGATTACAATTGGATGATTAAGAGAAGACAAATTATTTGTACACTCCATGCTCTTGTTTGGTGTTAATCAATGAGTAAAATAAATACTACCAGTAGATAGTTCACAATTGCTGTTTTAATTCTCAGGATGAGTCTATTTCATAAATATTGTGAGAACTCAAAGACTAATCATTCAGTCTGCCATTTACTATACCGAAAAAGATACAGGATTTTCTAAACTCTTGGAATAAAAAATGATTTTCAAAAGTAACTGTATTTTCATGAAATATGCTTGAAAATTCATGGGGCAGGGGCTGTCAATATGTTGAGAACCTGTGTATTGAATAGAGGCGTAGCCTATTGCAGTCATTCCTGAGATCAGTGGAAAATTTTGTTATCCCAAGGATATCACATCCTGCTAAATTCCCCTGCTCTGTGCATATGAACTTCTTCCAGAAACTGAATTGGTGAGTAAGGGTTGGTTAAAAATGAAAGTCTCTGGGAACTGCACTATGATCAGTGGTGACTCTCCCTCTCCTGGGGGATTGGTGAGGGTTGGACATGCCTTTCTGACCAGAGTGGTATCAGAGGTACTTGGAAGGATCAGAGGTCTGCAAGCCATTTACCTTAAGAATCCTATAACTGTTGGGTGTTGGATTTAAATGAAGGTTACAGTCTGGGAATTCCCTGTATAGGAAAAGCAACTTTTTCCTCTTGCTTTCTGGAATTGACTTAGGCCTTTGGTCATTGATTGGATGTATCTGTGATACCATGAGCCTGGAAACTTTTCAGAATTATAATCTTCCCCATCCTATATTGGATAAAACACCTGGATCTGCACTGTCCACAGTAAGAGTTTTCTTTTCAACCATTTGAACACAGTCTGACATCCACCATGAAGCTCTCCCTGTAATGACGCAGGTCAGCAGAGGCTCTTTTAGGAACGTTAGTGGGTTCATGGGGACACGGCCTCGTGTTGGGGACCCCTTTCTTGGATAATCAGCCTATGCTCATGAGATGATTTTTAGAGGGATAGCCTTTGGTACTGCAGTATTTTCCCTGTCTGAGGTACTTGGGACACCACTCTTGCTGCTTCTTACACACTGGTGTTCTGGAGCTGGTTCTAACCGTGGTTATTGTGGCGTGGATTTTGAAGAGAATGTGCCTTCTGATAATGGGTTGCAGAAATGACTTCAAGGCCTGGGGTTTTGAGAGTTCTCACCATGTGTCCCAGTTATGGATGCTTAGCATGCATTTTCTCCTTCCTGGTTGTTCAGCATCCCTTCATGGAATCACCAACCCTGTAACTAGACTCCTTTGGGAAATATAGATTAACCCTGTTTGTGCAGAGAAGAGGTCCAAGCCATAGTCCATTTCCCACAATTTTCTAGGTGTGGGAAGACCTTAGCATCTTAGCAGTCCATAAAAAATCAAATAGCAGGAAGAAATCCCCAAATGATAAACAGACAGTCAGCTCAGGATGTTTTGTAAAATGTCTTAAATAAATAAAACTTGGGTGGAGAGGGCTGTTCTAGTTTTCTGCAGAGCCCCAAGCAGGTCTTTAGGGCCTGTGTCCTCTGGGTCTGGGTGTTTGTTCTCCTCTTTCTATAACCCATCCTAGTTACTGGTTGCTTTGCTTTAAACCTGTGCATCATTTGCTCTTTGAACCCTCTGTGTTATTACCAAGAGATGTGCTACATTTTAAATTTTTAGCATTGATTATACCCTCCAATGATAACATTTTTGCCTGGTAAGCCCTCAAGTGGATGAATTAGTTAAATGAATGGATGGAGGGTCTTTCCCAGGACTGTGTGGTCTAGGCCTGGCCTTTGTGAGAAAGGCCCAAGGCTTCAGTTGTACATTATTATCTTTCATTTCAATAACACCTTCATGTCTGAATCAGGTAACAGGAGAGAGAATTCCATGTGCACAGATCATTTTTTTCCCCACTTTTGTAATAACATTGAACCATATGCTCAGTTTACTATTAGGTAACTGCTGCCTTCATGCAGTTTTTATTTGGGGAGGTAAATACATTTACTCCCAGGCCAATATTTTTCTTTTCCATTTATTAGTTTAAAGTAAATGCAACAATATAGGAGAATTTTGTGAACTGCTTTGGGAGCCAATTATATCTAACAAGACCATGTGTTAGAACTCAAGAGCATGCCCCCAGACTTCGTAGGTGTTGTGTGCTAAGAACACAGGAGTAGACAGAATGAACTAGAAGTCCCTTTTGGTTGTGTGTGGCTTGGTGACAGGGTGGGAAAAATGTTTCCACTGAGTCGGTGGCTCTTAGCAATGACTGGGTGGTATTGAGAAATGCAGCAGTGTCCACAGTCATAGTGTTGACCAGTGGTTGGGGATGGAGGTCTGCAGCCCTGCCTTGTACTGTTCACACTCTCCTCTGCCTGGCCTCCCTACTGTCCCCAACCCCACACTCTCAAGATGCAAGTTAGCTGCCTGGGCTGCTGCTGGGCAGTAACAGGTTTAATGGTGGTTCTCTGGTGCGCTGAGGTCCAGAACCACAGAATGAGACATGAACTTTCAAAATCTGCCATCAAGGACTCGGGAAGTAATGGAGAGACTGCAGGGAGGCCTTTAGAAAGTGCACAGTGGAGTCTGGTCTCAGCCGTTGTGGAGGAAGCAAGATCCAAGGAGAGTCAGGGAGGACAGGCAATGAGGGGAGCTGGGAGGGAAACGGCCACCTCAGGAAAACACAGAGCCAAGGTCGGAGGTCTTCTAAACATTGATCTTAAATGGACACCTAAAAACATAGAGGACATGTTGATGGGGTTACAGGAGCATCTCGCTGCTCTTGAATTCGCAGTGAAATTGGTTCCCTAAGGAAGACAGATGGGTGGATGCATTAAGTAATATTTACACCAGGTGAATGTGTCTGTCTCCTCAAACATTCACCAGTTTTTATGGGGAAAACTTTCAAAATCCTTTCTTTTAGCTTGAGTTTTTCCTTTAGGTTTTCTGGGCTCCGTTGTAACCCATGGAGGGGGAAATGCAAGACTGTTCGAAGAAGCAAAGCTGTGCCTCTTTCTCTCTTTTTAATGCCCTGAAAAGAGTGATTGTTTTCTTTGAAGGATGACATTGTTTGTTTGTGATTCAACTGAACTTTTCTTTCACAAGAAACAAAGTGGGAGCGAGGAGGTGACCTCCTAGCTGGAGACCACGGCCAGCAGAGACTTTCGGGGATTGGCCAGGATGGAAGCAGCCTCTGGCCAGCTCTGGGGCCTGTTTTTCTCCCCTGGGAATTGTGGGCATTTGAATAGATTGTTCCTGAAGTCCTGTTCAATGTCCCCTCGCTGTCCAGGTAGTCTTATTGCCATCTCTCAGTCTTACTCCTAGAGCATGCTATGGAAGTCACCTTCCCTGCCACAACAAATAATCTGTTGGCATTGTGGTCTGTTCTGCACTGACCTACATGGCGTCTCCCAGCTCATTATCAGTCTGTCTCCCACATG